GTTTGTATTCATTCGAGCTTCATTCGGTGTACATTTGATTGTTCTATGTTTTGTATTATTATATTTTGTGTAATTTTTGATAGTGTATTATACCAATTCCATGTACCAGTAGCAGTAAAATGTCTATATATATTATTTTTAAGACTCTGGATCACGCGTTCCGCGATTGCACATTTAATAACACTGTATGAACTGTAATGTTTAATTTTGTATTTTTTCATTAAATCTTGAAATTGAGCATTGTAAAATTCTGTACCATTATCTGTCTGTAATAATTTCGGATGAGCTTTTTTCAATATATTAAACATACCTTTTGTACATTCTTTCGATGTTTTATTTTTCAACGCCTCAAGCCATACGTACTTACTATATGTATCTATGACAACTAAAATATACTTAAAACCATAATTTTGTTTAGAATGAGATTGCATGTCCATTAAATCAGCTTGCCAGAGGTCATCAATAAACCGCGTTACTACACTGCGTCTAGGAAATATTTTTCTCGCTGGCCGATGTAACTCATTAGCTATACTCTCTAAGGTAGCCATTATACTATAATATTTCTCTCACGTAGTTCCTCTAAAATAGATATTATTTCATTATTCACACCAGTATTACCAACACTTTGTGATGATGTCAAAAGATTTAATCTAGTTACTAGCTCATTCGGATCGTCATAATAAACTAATTGGGTTTGAGGTAAGACATCTTTATATAAACCAGAACCTTTCATAGTCTTTGGTGATGAAGTAAAATTAAACATCTTTTCAACTAATGGATTTGTAGACATGGAACTGTTTGCTTCCGGATTAAAATCAAATGGTTCAAATTCTTGTGTTATTTTTTTGCGTTTAGCGCTTGAACTAGATAAATGATTGTCAAATGATTTTAAATTAATTCGAGGAGTTGTATTCTCATTAATTTTACTTATTTCTTCGTTAAACTGTTTTTCCTCCATTTTCATTCGATCATACAGTGGTTTTACAACAGTCACCCATTTATGGTACCTCGAGGTTCTAGGTTTTCCATCTGCTTTTAAATGGACTCCACTAGTTTTCAAAATATTGTAATAAGATTCTATATCTGCTATAGTTGTATTTTTTGGTTCCTTCTCACATAATAAAGACCATAGTCCTGGTGTAAATTGGTAGTATTTATTAAGCAACAGCAATTTGCCGTGAATAAAAGTAACAGAATGTTTTCCTATTTTATATGAATCACTATTTTTATCATAATACATACCATAAGATTTATCATAACGTGTTGATTTAGGACGGTTATTTAAAAAATTTTCATATGATGAATTTAATTCATCATCATTATCTTCTTCACTAATGCACGGGGTTTCTGATTTATTTTCTAGTTCAGTTGACCGTGTGTTACATATTACATTTTGTTTCACATGTGTACTCAATGGTTCAATTATCGGCTTAAATGCTTCACGGAAATAGTTTTCAGAATCTATAACACCACGTTTCATTTCCATTATTTTTTGTTGTATATTTTTTTTGATGTTTTAAATTTTCCAACAAGACTTTTTCTTTGTTCATTGTTAATAATAAATGTAATATACCTGTATCGTATGACTACTGATGACACTATGCAGATAATAACTGTGTGACGGTATATTTATATAAACTAATAAAATTATTTTATTTTAATGAATGTATGAAAACCGCATCTATACCTTCCTTCATTCATTTCTCGAGTTTTATCGATAACCATAAACCCATAATAGCTATGATTCCAGCATAAATGAGAAATTTTCCGAAATTCTGAGAAATCCATATCTGCAGACGAATGATCGTTGAATATATGTCGTAAATTTGTATCATCTTGTTTCAGTATTATTAAAAAGTTTGCGTTATCTCTTACAAGCTGTTTTGATATTTTAGAATATGTCTGTGCTAAATAAAATACGGAGCTGGCACCTGAATGCCTACCAATGCTAAAGTATTCTCTGATTACAGATTGTGGGCCGCATATCACATCATCAAAAATTATAATAGAATTTTTCTTGGTTAAGTTTGGTTTTATAACCTTATCAGCGCTTGTAAATAGGAAAAATTAGCACCTTGTATATCATCTATTATTTTTTTAATAAAACATATTTTTCCTGATTAGAGGTTTTAGAGTATAAATAAATATTTTCAAATCTTAACCCGTTTGCATGTGTGATCAGATTATACATTATATTTGTTTTTCCTGAACCGCTGGGACCAACTAGTATAGCACGTATAGTATCGGGTAATAACGAACCGTGTCTTGATGGTTTTTTTACTACCTGAACATCTACATTTATAACATCCAATTTATCTTTCTGTTCGATAAAATCCATATTATTTTCTTATAAATACTCTAGAATTTCCAATTTATAATCAGTTATCGATGACGCGTTCGACTCGTAAGTGCAAGTCAGTCAAGACTGGAAAAGGATTTGTAAACTCTCTTATAAATAGTCTCCCGTTCGAAGCCCATGTTTCAGGCTATCAGTATTGCGGTCCTGGTACGAAATTAAAAAAAAGGTTAGATCGTGGTGATAAAGGAATAAACCCGTTGGATGCTGCTTGTCGTGATCACGATATTGTTTATGCAACGAGTAAAAATTTAGACGATAGACATAGAGCTGATAAAGTGTTAGAAAATCGTGCTTGGGAAAGATTTAAAGCAAAAGATACTCCTAGAAAAGAGAAATTTGTGCGTACGCAGTAACAAACGCAATGAAAGCTAAAAGAAAAATAGGTATGGGCTGTAAACGGAAACGTGCTATAAAAACAAATGGTATACTAGCAGCGAAGAAAAAAAGAATCTCGAAGAAAAAGAATGGTGGTAAAAGGTTGATTTTAGCACCGAGACAGTCAGGAGGTGTAATTCCCTTAATACCTATATTTGCAGGATTGTCGGCACTTGGTAGTTTGATGTCTGGAGGTGCTAGTGTGTATAATGCGGTTCAAAATTCAAAAAGAAAAAAAGGCAGTGGTTTGAAATCAGACAAGAATAGGTTAAGAAAAAAAACTGATGATCACGCTACCTGACAGACCGCTTTCATCTCAAGATATTATAAAATATGTCGGAAAGTTGAAAATCAATCATTTCCGTGGAGTCTTTTCACGTGATAACTTGCCTAAAAAACCGCATGCGATTGAATGTGGCATATTAAACTTAGATATATCTTCAGGAGACGGAAGTCATTGGGTAGCGTTTTATAAAAATAAGGACAAAGTAGTATATTTTGATAGCTTTGGTGATTTGTCACCACCAATTGAATTACAACATTATTTTAGGCAGTTCAAAATAGTATACAACTATTCTAACTATCAAGATTTCAATACATTCAACTGCGGCCATTTATGCCTTGAATTTTTACAATGTATGAATCTGTTACACTAAGTTTGACTGGGAATACAACTATATTATCTACAAATTATTTTCCGACTCTAAACGTTTACGAGGATTCGGAAAGCTTTGTTATGTTTAAAAACACTTATTTATTTCCAACATAAATTCAGCTAATAACCGACTGGAGATAGAAGTAATTCCTTCAACAAGTAATAGATTTATCCTAAAAACGTTTATATTTATTTTAGAAGAAGGATGTTATGAAATTGAAGATATTAACAACAAAATTTCGAAAGAGTTATTTAACTTTAACAATAAATAGAACAACACAGCTAACATTCAACGTATCTATTGATCCCATAGATTTTAGAACATACATTGAATGCAATGGGATACTAAAGTTAAATATTCCAAACAGTATAGCATCTGTTTTTGGATTTGAAAAGAGAACCTATAAACAAATAAACAAAGCTCTTCGATCGGGAAAAGCTGCTAATTTAAACACAATTAACTCTATAAAAGTAATGTGTAATATAGCACATGGGTCATTCGACAACCGACTTCAAAGTCATTCAATATATGAGTTTTTCCTCCTTTAAAGCTAACTTTTTGTTTATTAGAATATAAATCTTATACATTTGGTGTAAATATACATCATAATATAAGTAGCCCAAAGTGTAGTCTCGCTGGTTCGTTTCATTTACTTGCTTAGATGTTTTGACCTACATTCATAATATGCACATTCGTAATCGTACAACAAGTTGTTGTTATGAACAATACATAAATACGTAGGATCTCGTACGTATTTCTATCGTAGCTATATGAATTCTAACAATTGCATTTTGTCCTCATTTGATTTATCAGTTCTAGCTATACCCCTAAGCTTTAACAGGCCGAGCAGGGTTCTTAAAAAAAAATAATTCATTTATATATTGGTTCATATGATTCGTTATTGTAAACCATATATTCATCGCCCAAAAGCTCACCAATTTTGTTCACGTATGATACATTAGAATGTTTTGTAAAACTTGAACACACCAGTGTACGTTCACCGTAAGAAGTATTTAACAAGTAGTTGTTATATAAGTATACACAATTAGTATTATAATCTTAATTATGAATTTAAGAATAAATACCAATAAATAAGAGCTGTGTTGCTGAAGTCATTATTTTAACTGATGAGGTATAATGTAAATGTATAAAATGACTCGAAAATGAGTTGATAAAAAAAAAAAAGACAGAATGACTGCTAGACAAATAGTTTTATGTGTCACAATGTTAAGTAATATAAAATCATTATCAGTATATTAAATTGTTTCTTTTTTAAATATTATAATATACATGAATTATTTAAAATATGTTGTGTTAAGAAAAAACGTATTTTTGAAGAATTTCAATAAAATATAAATTTATAAATCCAACGAGCGTAAAATATTGTTTTTGTTTCATAAAAAAAAAATAAAATAAGATCAGATTATTAAGTTTGTTTAATTTTCTCAAAATGCATTACTATCAACAACAACAATGGAATTTTCAATGTATTTTTGCTAAGGTATAACACCCTATAGTGAAATATTTAATACTTCAAACACCATCTAAAATGTAATATTACATTTTGATGTATATTTAATACATACCCTTTTTGAAATGATTATTGATATTTAAACTTGAGTACCATATACTCGGCTTGATGATTTTTCGTGTTCCTCCAAATGCCTTTTCAAAGTCACAGCTCTTGAAAATACGGTGTCGCAATACTTACATGTGTAAGAAGTATTGTCATTACTGAACAAAACAAAAATAAATTAAATTTTTAACTATTTTAATTAATAAAAAAATAAGACTAGATGAAATATTACTTAAACGGAGCTGGGTTAGATTGTTTAAATTGTCCACTGAAATTGGTCAAATGCTTTTGAACATCATCGTCTAGTATCATCGTCTTAACCATTTATAAAACAGTTGGTAAATTAATATCATCAAATTGTTAAGATACCCTTTGGGGATAAGAATTCAGCATTTTTTTTTTTTTATTTATGTGCATAATCAAAATGTTTTTTTCAGTGTAGAATTCCATTGAATATTTGGTATAAAAGGTGGCCAAAAATACCCAATTTATTTACTAAATTATATTATACGCGAATATTCATACTCCAAATTTTTTTTTATATTGTCTTGAATGATCATTAAGATTTCCATATTTCTTGAACAAAACAATTTGCTAAAATCATATGAATTAATTCCTAATTGCTTACCTTTATGCTATCTACATATGCCCAATCTTTAGGTAATATTTCTTCATTATTTGTCCTATTAATATTGATGGTCTAGCCAAACTTTCTATTTTCTCGTATTTATTTATATAAGAATGAACTGGATAAGCAGCCTGATGATTTCATGGCTTTCGCATACACGAAGACTCCCGGGTTTTATTGCCTCGCGGCTACAACCGCGTACCTTCTATTAGCGCTGAGCGCTAGTCAAGGGACGCGGAGGCAACAGCCCGACGACTGGCCGCCAGAGGTGGATGGCTCACCGGTTGTGGCCGCTTCACGCCTACCATTAAAGCAACCGGAGCTGCAGGACTGCCCTCTCCGGACGCCCGCCGGTTACGGTGTCACTGGCTACTCCAGCGAAAACCCCAGCCGGCACGAAACCGACTCCACGAATGAAATCCGCTGGCCAGGCGGGCGGCGAACCGTTCATAGTGCGTCAGCGGTTGGACATGCTTCGACGGTAGCCTCTGCCAGAATTGAAATCTGATAATTCTAAGTAGGCGTATTTTTGTCAGACTTTTAGGTCTAAATCATGAAATAAATACGCTGCATAGTCAATTATTTTAAACATAATATAAGTACCTGTTCGATTAATTTCTTCTTTTGAACCCGAGTCTGCCACCACGAAGGAGATGATAGCAAACAAGATTAATGTAGTTGCTATATTATATTCCATCGTGTTGTCGGTCTATTCATATACTTAGGAAAAGTAAACAGGTTCGTTTCATTTACTTGCTTAGATGTTTTGTAACTTTGTATTTTTACCTAGATTTATAATATGCTAATGCGTAATCATACAAAAAAAATATTGTTATGAACAATACATTAAAATGATTTCATACGTATGTGTATCGTAGCTATTTCAATTTCGAACTTCTCCTCCTTTAATTTATAATATTATAATCTTATACATTTGGTATAAATATACATCATAATATAAGTAGCCCAAAGTGGAGTCTCGCTGGTTCGTTTCATTTACTTGCTTAAATGTTTTGACCTACATTCATAATTTGCACATTCGTAATCGTACAACAAGTTATTGTTATGAACAATACATAAGTTGTTCATATATAACATTTAAATGGCTTTTCGTCGGTATGTTTCTTTGTATGTACTGTTAAATAACTTTTTCTTAAAAACCCTGTATAACAGATGTTACATGTATACGGCTTTTCGTTAGAATGTGTGGCTATATGGGATTTAATTTTTTTTTCCGGGAAAAAGGTCTATCACAAATAGCACATATATGCGTGTGTGTTATTGTATCCACAGTTAAATTGAATGCTGTAGATATTTTACCACGGTTATTAGTCTATTGATTTTTCGTTAAGCAGTTAGATGTCAAGTCCAAATTTGCAGGAGTAAAAAATTCTGAAAAGTTGCTTTCATTTGAAAGTTGATGTTCCTTGATATTCATAATGGTCAATGAAATCTATTTCTACTTTAATTTTGGTGTCAATTGTGATTCTTTCTTCTTCAGTTTTAGTTCTAAAAAAAAAAAATATTTATTTTAAATATGTTAACCTTTATCAAATAACGGAAAATATATATAACTACATATTAAGTAGATTTTAAAATTAAATTGTTAACAAAAAGTGTATTTACGTAATAAAAACGGAGGACCACCTTTAGTTGGTAGAACTGATTTAAAAACAATAAACTATTCTCATATTTATAACACTGTAAATGTAGACGAAAATGTAGAGAACATCTTAAAAAATTTCAAGCATTTATTCAAACATGTGATTTGCACCTTTAATAAATACTAAATATCGCTAAACATTAAAAAGGGGGAAATACTCAAGTTTTTCAAGCCAAGGTCAATTCTCTTAGCACTAAAATCTAAGGTAAAAGCGGAAATTGATCGTTTAATATATAATACCACATTAACTCCCATGAACCTAACCTAACCTAACCCGTATAAATGGTGCATATCTTAAGCATTTATCTACAATTTCTAAGACAATTTCTGTCCTTTCCCTTCCTTCAGTTTTACCTATATAATTTATACTGATAATTACCAACGAACCACTAGAACCACTGTCTTCGTTTATGGTAAATTTCTGTAACAAATTGGTAAAACAAAAATGTATTTCGGTATAAAATATTAGAAAAGACTTACTTCTGGCTCATGTTTTCGAAAGCTGTACATAGTATCTCCGTCAAGAACATATTTTCCTAAAAATGATTTATGTTTATTTAACATTTCTTTTTTGATATTTGTCTCGACATTTGGATTAAAATATATCCTGTATTTTTGTAATACAAATTCATCTTCATAAAATAAGTTAACACTATTTGTTACTAACTCCACACCACGTCCAAAAATACCTACAAAAAAATAAAACACTAAATTGTTGATTTGTTTAGTTTTTTTCCTGGAAATTTGTAACAATTTGTTGTAGGTACAATAAGATATAAATATAACATGTATACTATGATCATGCCTTGGCATAAATGAGTTAAACATTTAAAATTAAGTTACAATTACCTAGTTATTAAATAATTATTTATTATAAAAGTTCCTTTAAGCTAACTTTTTGTTTATTAGAATATAAATCTTATACATTTGGTTGTAATATACCTCATAATATAAGTAGCCCAAAGTGTAGTCTCGCTGGTTCGTTTCATTTACTTGCTTAGATGTTTTGACCTACATTCATAATATGCACATTCGTAATCGTACAACAAGTTGTTGTTATGAACAATACATAAATACGTAGGATCTCGTACGTATTTCTATCGTAGCTATATGAATTTCTAACAATTGCATTTTGTCCTCATTTGATTTATCCAGTTCTATAGCTATACCCCTAAGCTTTAACAGACCGAGCAGGGTTCTTAAAAAAAAATAATTCATTTTATATTGGTTCATATGATTCGTTATTGTAAAACCATATATTCATCGCCCAAAAGCTCACCATATTTGTTCACGTATGATACATTAGAATGTTTTGTAAAACTTGAACACACCAGTGTACGTTCACCGTAAGAAGTATTTACAAGTAGTGTTATATAAGTATACACAATTAGTATTATAATCTTAATTATGAATTTAAGAATAAATTACCAATAAAATAAGAGCTGTGTTGCTGAAGTCATTATTTTAACTGATGAGGTATAATGTAAATGTATAAAATGACTCGAAAATGAGTTGATAAAAAAAAAAAAGACAGAATGACTGCTAGCCAATAGTTTATGTGTCCACAATGTTAAGTAATATAAACTCATTATCAGATATATTAAATGTTTCTTTTTTAAATATTATAATATACATGAATTATTTAAAATATGTTGTGTTAAGAAAAAACGTATTTTTGAAGAATTTCAATTAAATATATAATTTTATAAAAATCCAACGAGCGTAAAATATTGTTTTTGTTTCATAAAAAAAAAATAAAATAGATCAGATTATAAGTTGTTTTAATTGTTCTCAAAATGCATTACTATCAACAACAACAATGGAATTTTCAATGTATTTTTGCTAAGGTATAACACCCTATAGTGAAATATTTAATACTTCAAACACCATCTAAAATGTAATATTACATTTTGATGTATATTTAATACATACCCTTTTTGAAATGATTATTGATATTTAAACTTGAGTACCATATACTCGGCTTGATGATTTTTCGTGTTCCTCCAAATGCCTTTTCAAAGTTACAGCTCTGAAATACGGTGTCGCAATACTTACATGTGTAAGAAGTATTGTCATTACTGAACAAAACAAAAATAAATTAAATTTTTAACTATTGTAATTAATAAAAAAATAAGACTAGATGAAATATTACTTAAACGGAGCTGGGTTAGATTGTTTAAATTGTCCACTGAAATTGGCAAATGCTGTTGAACATCATCGTCTAGTATCATCGTCTTAACCATTTATAAAACAGTTGGTAAATTAATATCATCAAATTGTTAAGATACCCTTTGGGGATAAGAATTCAGCATTTTTTTTTTTTTTTTTTATGTGCATAATCAAAATGTTTTTTTCAGTGTAGAATTCCATTGAATATTTGGTATAAAAGGTGGCCAAAAATACCCAATTTATTTACTAAATTATATTATACGCGAATATTCATACTCCAAATTTTTTTTTATATTGTCTTGAATGATCATTAAGATTTCCATATTTCTTGAACAAAACAATTTGCTAAAATCATATGAATTAATTCCTAATTGCTTACCTTTATGCTATCTACATATGCCCAATCTTTAGGTAATATTTCTTCATTATTTGTCCTATTAATATTGATGGTCTAGCCAAACTTTCTATTTTCTCGTATTTATTTATATAAGAATGAACTGGATAAGCAGCCTGATGATTTCATGGCTTTCGCATACACGAAGACTCCCGGGTTTTATTGCCTCGCGGCTACAACCGCGTACCTTCTATTAGCGCTGAGCGCTAGTCAAGGGACGCGGAGGCAACAGCCCGACGACTGGCCGCCAGAGGTGGATGGCTCACCGGTTGTGGCCGCTTCACGCCTACCATTAAAGCAACCGGAGCTGCAGGACTGCCCTCTCCGGACGCCCGCCGGTTACGGTGTCACTGGCTACTCCAGCGAAAACCCCAGCCGGCACGAAACCGACTCCACGAATGAAATCCGCTGGCCAGGCGGGCGGCGAACCGTTCATAGTGCGTCAGCGGTTGGACATG